TCAATTTTCATGATGGGCTGATATTGTATTCCCAATATAGAATCAATCTTGGAAAACATATTGTATCAATATTTTGTATTTTTATTCAGCCAATATTAGTTCATCAATATGCGACCCATTTCAGATAGATATAACTAATGAAATATGCCAGAACCAATATTGCACTGACATTGGATTTCTGATATCGAATCGATATTCGTGATATTTCTCTTAGTATTTGAGCTACGTTATAACAGCTGGCGCCACTAGCACGCCTCCAACAAACGACTGCTGAGAGACATCAAATACCGCATTCGTTCAACTTGCAAACTAAGTATTCTGGGATACAGGAAACGAAAATGGATTTGATATTGTACAAATATCGCAATTTTTTAATGAGGCTAATATGGCTTCGAATTTTGATTTCGAGTTTTGTTGAAAAACGAAATTCAATATTGGTTGAATATTATAATTCAACATGAAGATAATATTGCAAAATAATCACATCCTCATTTTAGCCAATATAGTAGGGGAATATGAATTCAATATCGATTTCACATATGAAAATTATAAGAAACCAGTTTTCTATAAGTTGGCATCATATTGAAAAGGAATATTCTCAGATAAATTATGAACATACAAAAATGGATATATATTTATATAAAGCAATACATTGAGAATTCGCATTCTCTATGTGATGAGAATATTTACTCTTTTTCAGTTAATTCAATAGAAAACAACTACTTTCCTGGCTATATGCCACGACGAACATTGAATTATATCTATTGAACACATATATATTTGTCCAATCTTGTATACGAATATTAACTCGATATTGGATAGAGCATATCGAAACAAGATTGAAATTCAACATAGCACCAAGATTCCAGAATGTTCACATTGATTTATTGACCCAATAATTAAAATTAATATTTTCCCAACATTCACCATTTATTGACTCAATATTGAACCAATATTAGTGTTCTACCTGGGATTATACCTAAAATGTTTGTTGGTTTACCAGACTTCCAATTAACAAATACTTTCAGTCCAGTGAATAACAAATTCTTCCAGTGGCTTCCAATGACTACACTGCCAATAATGATCACTATGTACTTCTAATAACGTCGAATTTTCTGTTATAGATGATTTTTTCATTCAAATATAATTTGTATTCTTAGTTGTTCGACTATATTGCTCATTATACTCCATTTAATGAATCCAGGAGGTTCCATTTCAGTTTCCATCAACTTTAAAAAAATTAGGAGGTTTTAACCTATAGAATGCGTTTTTCTCGAAACTCACTTTTTGTGACATTCACTTTTTGTGACATTCCCCTCTTCCTCTGTGGCAGGAGTCTGTATAACAACCTTAGGTCTATAGGAATGGAGAACATGCTGATGTTCAATATTGAATTAAACACCCCAAAGCAGCTCGTTTATTTTCACACTAGGTGATTTGCATTTCCTGACGTAAGAAACCTACGTGGGCAGAAAACCAGAGAGGCTCTTTCCTGCCCAACACCATCTTCATAATGAGATGGCTCGGTATTCCCAAGGCGAAACACGAGTTTGCGATTCAAATGGCGTTTCGAGTCATCCTCCTCGCCCTCCCCAAGGAAAAGATTCATTAATGTCAATTAGATATCAAATTCATTCATGGACTGGGAGCAAATACAGGAAAGTAATCAAAGTTCGTAGACCTGTATGCGCGTTCTCTGAGGAAAACTACCAAAGAATAATATACGAAAATGGCATGTTAAAACGACAGAGCAATGACGATGAACCAACGAACATGGAAGTGAACTATGCAACACTAATATCGTCGTACCCCAAAATTTTGTCCCTGTTAAAATATGAATAACTTTTTTCTGCTTTGAACAATTTGAATTCGGATTACACTGTTCGCTAGCCCAGTCCTTCAGCCATAATCTCGTACTTCTTTAAAATATGAGGTTCTCCATATGAAATCGCTACAGGGTGTCACATGAAACTGGGAAAAATTTCAGAATTTCCAAATGGATCCCAAATAAACAAAAACTTTTTTTTTCAACTCCGACAGCAGAGGCGTGAAGATGATCTTATCATCTAGGGACATTTTTCAAATTGTCTCCTTATCTCTCTCATTTTCAGAGTGATCTCAAAAAATTAACTTACTGGTTTTGCAGTCATAACTTTTTTCTCATTTTGAAGTTAAAACTTCAGATGAAGAGATATGAATATCATTTAGTGTTGTTTCGTGTATTGCTCGTACTTATGTCGAATTATCCAGTAATGAAATTATAAAGATAGATTGAAATGACATATATTTGATTAGTCTCAATATTAATTATATGACAAGCTCTCAAAAATCCTTTTTTTAACAAAACATCCACATGGAAACCATGAATTCACATACAGTAAGTGCAGGTTGCATTAGTGCACTACACATCAGAATTGACCCAAGATGAACATTATACAGTGTGTCTCAATTCTAATGGAAGCACCCCTGTGTGTTTCGTAATTGTTGAGTTAGGATTCTGAAACTCATAGCAGCGGGAGATATACTGAAAATAAACACTATGACCCAGTGGAGTCATCTCCAGTGATAAACACTGCTCGCCAACAGCCATGGAACCACCCAAATTTCCGGAAAATGTTATTAGGAGCCAAGATAGGTTGAGAATCACTTCAGATTCGAAATCAGGACGCCCAATCCTCTGACTATACATATTATTCCTGGAAAATGTTCAGTTCAGAAAAATTAAATGTTGTCTGACTTTTCATGAAAGCACCCCCGTATATCACGTAATTATTGAGGTAGGGTTCTGAAATTCGCAGGAGGAAGCGAAAGGGACGTCCTGATTTAGAATCAGAAGTGATTTTCAATCTATCTTGCCTCCTTATATCGTTTTTTTGGGTGGTTCCATGGCTGTTGGCGAGCAGTGTATATCACTGGGGACGACTCCACTTGGTCATAGTGTGTATTTTCAGTATATCTACCGCTCTTGCAAATTTCAGAACTCAACAATTACGGAAGATACAGGGGTGCTTCCATTAGAAGTGAGACACACTGTATAATGTTCATCTTGAGTCAATTCTGATCTCTATATTTCTTCATCTGAAATTTGAGCTTCAGAAAGTGCCTGATATTCCAAAAATCGTTACGTATATCACTAAACAACCCCTAAATTTGCAATTTTTTGAAATCAAATCACAGAATTAGACTGACAGAAGTGACATCAGATATTTGATTACTTCAAAAGAATGAGAAAGATTCCTACAACGCAGGTGTCCCTACTGTTAAAAACTCAAAATTTCACGTCGATAATTCTCAGATTTCAGAATAATTTAATATCTTCTCAATATTGATTCGTCCTTCCTTCTGTTACAGAATAAAATAGTGTATTATACACGGGAAAAATATTAGATTTTAGCTCCCGGTTTTTTGTCTCCAATACAACCTGGAGCTAAAATCTACTACTTTTTTCCCTTGTATAATAAATAACTATGGTTTTACTCATATACCGATTCAGTTACTTACCTATTACCTACTTACTGACGTGACATATTATGAGTGTTGTTTGTGAAATTCATAATGAATTTGTAGTAGTTTTCCTATATGCGAATCACGAAACTGAGTGCAATCAAGTCAAATGAAAAGATAATCTGCATCTTTTACCTTTTATTCATGAAACATAAAACATTTTACATCATCGGACAAGAATTCCTGAATCTTACGAGTTAAGCGCCTTAGGTTGGAATATAATATACCTGAGCTCAAACAAAATTATGGAATACATAATTATTCAGGAGAAGTCCCTACTTCCCAATATTCTATCATGCCTCAATATGAACGGGGAATTTACATTCATACCCGGACATAAACCCAATTGTTTGTGTTCAATTCGAAAAAAACGAACATGCCTTGAGCTATCGAAGGGAGCTTATTCTTGTTTTGATACCTATATACAGTGTGACCCACTTCTAATGAAAACACCCTATGACCAAGTGGGGTCATCTTCAGTGATATACACCGCTCGCCAACAGCCATGAAACCACCCCAATTTCCGGAAAATGATATTAGGAGTCAAATTAGGTCAAAAACCACTTCAGATTCGGAATCAGGACGCCTAATTCACTAACTATTCATATTTTTCCTGGGGAATTGTTAGTTCTGAAAAATTAAGTTTTGTCGCACTTTTTACGGAAGCACCCCCGTATCTTACGTAATTCACTTCATCATTGGACTTTCCCTTCCTCCTGCAAATTTCAGAACCCTATACCTCAATATTTATGTAAGATACGGAGGTGCTTTCATGAGAAGTGAGACAAAATTTAATTTTTCTGAACTGAAAATTTTCTAGGAAAACTATGAATACTTAGTGAATTGGGCGTCCTGATTCCGAATCCGAAGTGATTTTCAACCTATTTTGACTCCTAATATCATTTTTCGGTGATTGGGATGGTTCCATGGTTGTTGGCATATCTCTCGCTTCTGCAAATTTCAAGAGTTGATGAAACAGAAAGCTCATGAAAAGTACATTATGACATGATGAAATAAGTTAGTGAATGAGAAATCATTCACTCAGGTTTGATTTCCTCTTCGCAAGAGGATATGTTCCTTGACTTTTGATATCATCAGCTAATTTATTGAATTTTGAGATAGCTCCGTGAGTGAACTTTTTTTGACCAAGTGTGGAATTAGCAGCATCAAGATGAAACAAGTCATATTGTTTAGTAAGATACAGAAGTGTTTCCATTAGCAGTGGGTCACACTGTATAAATTCATTTTTTTGTGTTCATAAATATTTCTGAGAATGTCCCTTTTCAATACTTTCACCCAATCGAGGAGTTCAAACTTGAACGTTGGAAAATTGTTATTTTGATAGACCTCAATCGCAGATTCGTGGCTAGGTTTTCTCAATTCAGAATTTCTTTCCACGTCCTGTATGATGAATGTCAATTTATCATACATCCAAAATCCAAAAACCTTTCGGTTTGATGAATAAAGTCGATTTATTATTATTATTATTGTTCCAGTACTGAAATCTGCTCATTCGGTGGTCTGGTGGCCAAACCAATCCAACTGTTCATGTTCTGTGCTGTCTACGGCCCCAGCGCAGTCGTTCTTCTAGTGTGCTACGGCTACGTCTACGTGGTGGCCAGAGGGCATGCGCGTGCTATCAGATCGGAAGTACGTCACTCGAGACACACCGTCAGGCATGCCAACATGACTTCCGGTCCAGGACCGCCCAGATACGGCCTGGCGTTAGCCATCACAGCTGGGATGTTTTTGGTGTTATGGCTGCCGTTTCAAGTAGGTTGAAAAGCAGGGACTGTTTTTGATTCAGTTGTCAAAAGCCATACTTTGGGCCCCCAATATATCCTACATTGTGACCCACTTCTAATGGAAACACCCCTGTATCTTACGTAATCGTTGGGTAAGGATCCTGAAGTTTGCTGGAGCGAGAGATATACCAAAAATGCACTCTCTATGACCAAGTGGGGTCAACTTCAGTGATATACTTTGCTTGCCAACAACCATGGAACCACCCCAATTTCCGGAAAATGATATTAGGAGTCAAAATAGGTTGAAAATCATTTCGTATTCGGAATCAGGAGTGGAAGAAATACCATAAACAGATCCTCTCAAAATCCTAGAATTCCAAAAAATATACTCAACAAACTAGGCAGGAACGAAAGGTAATCCTTGTGGCAGGCAATCATTCTCGATTATGGATCCAATAACTTGATGGATTTCAATGCAAACAAAACACAAGCATGCCTTTTCTCTAGACAAGCCGATCTCACTGTGCACAACATGAGCTTGTCAGGAGTAACCATACCTTTGAAGACATCCATTTCGATGCTAGGTATCACTATCAGCAATAAGCTTTCTTGGGAAAATCACGTGAGATCAGTTGCTGAAAGTGCATCCCAAAAACTTAGTTTCATGCCCTGAAACTGTTGGATTCCGTCCAAAAAAGGGCAATTCGTCTCGTGGGTGATGCCTCGCTCACAAACTCACTCACTTCTCTAGAACACCGAAGAAAAGTTGGAGATCTGGCTCTTTTTCATCGATATCTTCATGGACGATGCCCTTCTGAAATATGAACAATTGTTCTTCCCTTGGCAGTCCCCTCAAGATTAACCCTTCGAGTTGAGGCTTCGCACCCCTTCGTGGTCACTTTGGAGACTTGCAGAACATCAACAGCGAGGCTCTAGAACACATTGCCAAGGAAGGTTTTCCTTGAGGCATATAACCTGAAGAAATTCAAGAAGAACACCAATTCCTACCTCATTTCTCTTGGTTCTCACGATGTTATCTGAACATTACAGGATATCCCTTTTCGTGGGAACCAGAACATAAAAAAGGCCGAAAATCTCCTCGGCAATTTTAAGATCGAAGACACTGATCAACCTCAGCAAAATCAGTCTCGAAGCAATAACGTGTTGTCCTCCTCTTAGCTAGGCTTAGAGGAGGACATCTGCAGATTCTGCGGGGATGATTCAGAAACACTCCTTCACATCTTGTTGGAGTGTTATGCTGTACATCACAAAAGATCGAACAAACTGGAAGCATACCAGCCGACTGTAGAAGCAATACCATGAACAGATCCTCTCAAAATCCTCGAACTCCTAAAACAATTGAAGCTTGAGGGGCTGCTATAAACAAGAAAACCTTGAAAGAGAGAGAGAGCAAAATGTGATGGGACACAATAGATCTAATCGGGTCGCACTGGTTGCAGCGCATTTCTCACCATCCACAGATACCAATACCAAGACAATAACATAGTGAAATTTTGTTGTTCGTAGTATTATTTTCTGTTTTTTTCAGGTGTGTATGCTCATCGACGTCTTCATAGGCACGAACATCCTCTCAGCTTGGATATCGGTCTACCTGGCCCTACCCATACTAGCCAGCAGCGCTTTCAACCCTTGGGTGTACGGCTACAGGAACTCAGAACTGCGCTGCGCAGTCCGCAGGGTAGTAGACGACCTGTTGCACGTCCTGGGCTTCACGCACCGCAGCCACAGAACCTCCGACCCGATAGCACCAAGCGCAGCCGCAACAGTTGGTGACGCAGGCTCGTTCATCAACCACGTGCAGCTAGCGTGCCAGGACTGGAAGCCTGACGGGGACTTCCTATTGGTGCCGATGGCGAAGCCTGAGAGCTCTGGGGTGATTTCGGATTGCGAGTCGCGAGTTTTTTGTGAGAGCAGCAGGATCATTCTGGGGTCGGACGGTGCCAGGGTGCTTAGGGGGAGTAGGAGTATGGTGGAGACGTTTGCGATTACTAGGGGATCGGAGGTGATGGTGAAACCTGGGCGGGAGAGAGAAATGAAACATGGTGCGAGTGTGGTGTGAAAATAACCGAATCTTGTCTTCGTCAGTTTTTTGGAAGAAGAGGAAGTATTGATGCTACAATTAGATAGCTCTGGAACAAGTATTGTGGAAGTTGATGTGTACAAGGTGTCCGTAAATTATGCGCAGAATATCAAAAGGGGTGATTCTGCATGAGAAAACATGAAATTTATTTCATATACCAAGTGTCCCAGTATACTTGTTCCAATAGATTATCTCAGCCATTTCGAAAGATGAAAATTTGAAAATTTCATCATCTACTACAATTCTAATAATTTGAAATAATTATTGAAGTCACAATCAGGATTACAAAAATATCGTAGCCTACTGCAATTCGTTCTATTTGGAATTTCAATTGTCGTTTTCTCCATCAAATCAAATTTAAAATACGAAGTATGTATGTATGTTGAAAACTATGCATTTCCGGACCCACGTACATATGAAATGAATTTCTCATTTTATCATGTAGAATCTCCCCCTCGATTTTTTAAGCATAATTTCCGGACACCCTGTAGGTCTACTGGGTGACGCATTATGGAGTATTGCCCCAATAACATTTTTATTTTCGGCAGGTAAAAAACAGACTCGAAGGGGATTTTTTTGCTTCTTGATTCAACAGGTAGGTACATTTCCACAAGATATACAGAAAGTAGCAAAAATATTATGGATGATTTTGAATTGGACACTCCATATATTTGCTCGACATTCCATAGGAAGGCCTTTTGAAGAGCTCCTCGAAAATACCCCACACAATACAGTGTGTCCCACTTACCATGCTCACCATGAGTATCTTTTTGACGGTGAGAGATACGAGGTCGGTTAAATGACACCAAATGTGGAGTTTGTCAAGGCCAACTATAATGTGAGAAAATATTTTGATAAAATCTATTCGTTTTTGTTTTATACGCAAAAAACAGATTTTGATCATGATCATGTCTCCTCCGTAACTTTTTTATTTATGAAAATATTCAAATAGGAATTTCACATATTCATGTCAGTTTTTCAAAATGATTTCGAAAAAAATATGAAATTTATACCAACTCTAGAATTTGAGATATCAGCACCAACTTCAGTTTTTCAAATGTAGGTCATAGCTCAATATGACTTAGTTACAAATAACTTTTTTTTCTCTTACAGATGATGTGTCGCAGTAATAGTTTTGTGTTGATAACAACGGAGTTATCGTCATTTATACAAATACAAAAAATTATTTGGACGCCGCCATCTTGAATTTATAAATTTTAACAAAAAAATCATGATCTCCGACCTCAAAAGCCCCCACTCACCAATTTTGAATGGAATCGGACCAAATCTTGTCCGCCATCTTGGAGCAGCCATTTTTTTTTAATTTCAACAAAAATCCCATAATGAATTGTCACCGGAATTATGAACACCTGCCAAATATTAAGTTAATCGGGGTTATGGAATTTTTGTTGAAATTTAACTAAATGTCTGCTCCAAGATGGCGGACAAGATTTGGTCCGATTCCATTCAAAATTGGTGAGTGGGGGTTTTTGAGGTCGGAGATCATGATTTTTTTGTTGAAATTTATAAATTCAAGATGGTGGCTTCCAAATAATTTTTAGTTTTTGTATAAATGACGATAACTCCGTTGTTATCAACAGAAAACTATTACTGCGACATATCATCTGAAAGAGAAAAAAAAGTTATTTGTAACTAAGTCATATTGAGCTATGACCTACATTCGAAAAACTAAAGTTGGTGCTGATATGTCAAATTCTAGAAGAGTTGGTATAAATTTCATACTTTTTTCGAAATCGTTTTGAAAAACTGCCATGAGAATGTGGAATTCCTATTTGAATATTTTCATAAATAAAGAAGTTACGGAGGAAACATGAAAATGATCAAAATCTGTTTTTTGCGTATAAAACAAAAACGAATAGATTTTATTGAAATATTTTTTCACATTATAGTTGGCCTTGACAAACCTCATATTTGGTGTCATTTAACCGACCTCGTATCTCTCACCGTTAAAAAGATACCCATGGTGAGCATGGTAAGTGGGACACACTGTATATGATTTATCTTTCGTATATTCAAAAAATGAGCTTTCAAGAGAGAAGTCATCTATTTTGAAATATTTTTGATCATCGCCAATGAGAATTGAATATCATAGGTAACGATATTTTTAATATACCTGGATTGCCAATCATTTTCATGACCTTCTCTCGGAAATCATTCATAAATTGATCAAACTGTTTATAGTTGGAGAACCCGCTGCAAATTTCTCCGGCCCTTGGACTATTATTTCGAATGTCCATACATGGAAAAATATGGAAAATGAACATAAATATTGAATAAGCTATTTTTAGAAAACTCTTCGAAAAGTCTTTTCAATGGTGAGGGAATATATGGGCTGTTCAATTTGAAATTCATGAATTTTTGCAGCTACCTGAAAATCTTTTCAGATAGTGAAAATATACCTGTTTATTCAAGAACCAAAAAACTACCATATGTACCCGTTTTTATTGCTACTGTCGAAAATAAGAAAGTTATAGAGGTGGTCTTAGCATGTGATAACGTGTCACTCAGTACAATCTGTTATTGTTGTAGGACAACAGGTCAAGTATGACAGATTTTCGTTTTCTCCCATTATAATTTAAAAAGGGGGTAGAGGGACCTGACAATTCTGAATTGAAAAGATTCTACATGTTGCTAATGTCATCAACTGATAATCATTCATCAAATGATTGATTGTTAAGCGTATTGAATCAAATCGTACGACAACTTATATGAGTCGAATTCAATATTCCTTGGAAAACACGTCATAAAACTTCAATGGTTATCACTGGCTGGAATTCGCAACATGATGATTTACTGATTTTTTTTTCATCGACCCAATTAGGATTAGTGATAGGAAACGATGAAAATTTGAAACAGCTGTTGATCTAGTCAATTCTGTATATTTACTCAGTGCAGGAAATTTTTTGTATCGTCATCGATGGAAAATTTTACAATGATGTCTACAGTATTATTTTTTTCTTTCCACCATCATTCATTTATATTAGTAGATTTAAGTATGTACCTACTGATGAGAGCTTGTATTTTTTTATTGTGAACTTCAGAGTGGCATTGATATATTTCGTCGGTATTCAGGGAAAATAAAACCTGCCTACAAAATGTGTTTGAAAATCAAAATGTCTGCGGAATTATCAGCAATGACTGTGAACAACTGTTAAATAGTGATTTGTGTCTGTGAGATCGAAGATGGAAGGAAAATTTTAGTTTTTTCTTATTAAATACATATTTTTTTATTGATTACTGTTTCATTTTTACCTCCATAAACATGAATATTGTTAAAAATATCAATTGGAATCAAAATTTCAGCATACGAATATGGTCACGTGGTTTTCAGTCATCGTTGAAGAGCCGGTACTTGGGTACTCTTTCAGTTACTGAAAGGATGAGCTAAAAAGATCACATTTTGTGTATAAATACGTACCTGCACTACCTAAAAGAACCTCTTATGTTCTGACAATAAGGTACCATTTGTGATGGCATACAAATGAAGCAGAGGCAATTCTGGACCACAACAACTGTATCTAGAGGTATATAAGGAAAGTGATGGAAATATAAACCCATTTCAAAATGTGAAGATAATTTAATTTAAAACTTTGTGTCTAATAAAATTTGAAATAAAATGTACCAAAACGGTACTAGTTTATATAATACACTAAGCACTTCAGTTGTAAAAGTCAGGTATTTGCAGCAGTCTATTGCAAATTATTTCCAGATCCCTGGATTCCTCTATTCTATATTTGTATACACCGGGTATCTATAGAATAATCTACTTCATTTCCTCTCCTCTATGCCTTGTGTCATGTATTTCAAACCAATGTCCAAGGCCCTACTCCAAGCATCCAATTCTTCCTTAGTCATGAACGAGAATACATCCGTCATAGCTTGTTTCACATCCTGGAAAATGAGAATCAATGTTCAAGAATTAAACTTAAAAATGTACCTATCCTGACTATTTCACGCCGTTATCAAATGAACCAATCAGGAGCTCAAGTCAAGTTCAACAAGATGAAAGCATTGTACCTATGTATAATAACTGTATATTTATGATAATAATTGAAAAAATTCAGGTGAGTATATTATGTTATTACTGGTTCCCATTCGCTCAAACTCTGTATTTCAAATAAGAATGTTTGCTATTTGTGACAACGCATGACCACGGCATATTATGACCTAACATTTTTTACCTACGGCCACTATAGAAAGTAGGCAAGAACACAACGAGATACAGCCTCAGTAAGTAGCTCTTTACGTACAATAAGCACATCGCACAGTTTCCGTTTAATTCGTCAGTATAGGTATGTCATGATGACGTAATCGCCGTCAACAGCGGATGACATAACTGTCAAGAATTATAATTCAGACTGTTCGTCCAAACTTTTTTGATGTACTATATGGCAGTAGGTAAAGTATAGTTCGTAATGCGTGTTGTAAAGCAATTACGCACTCATGGAATTACGCACTCGTGCGTAATATGCTTCTCACAACACATATTACGTAATATACTATAATGTTTTGCTGCCAGAAGATTTCAATAGACCAAAATGAACAGGAATATCTAACATATTCGAAGACTTGTTTTACCCAATGAAACGATGATACCAATCGACACATACATAGGTTATGACCTGGAATAAAAATAGATAAGAATTAACTCACCTTTAGGGCTTGTCGATCAACTGATCTCGTTTTGTGATTGCTCCCAATCTTCAATCCTATACTCTCCAACAGCTCGTTGTCGTCTATCGCCCCTACCATAGAACCGACAGAGTAAATGACTGAGTTGCAATGGGCATGAAACTTTTTGCTCTTCGGCAATTCTTGAGTAGGAATGTCTCTGAATGGAAACGGCTTCTGATGGTTTGGTTGAATCTCAAATAACCTAAAAATCATTTATCTGTTATTCATGAAAGCACCAGCCCTATCTTTAGAATATTAACTAACTTGAATTTTTAATGAAAACGTCACGAAAGGGTCATGCATGAAAACTTCAAACAAACTTGGAAAAATCTGTGAACCCATATTGGAAGTAAAAAATTGGTGCGAATGAATCATCATTCAATATTCCTAAAACATGTATTTTGACGTTCAAGTGCACTCTTGATGATATATTTTTGGGAAACTCAAGAATTTGTACTCAATCATCGTTTTTAGGACTCTATGTGAATGACAGTCTCTCATTCAACACCCACATTACTTTCTGCAGTAAGAGTCATCTCATCTGAATTGAATATATCTGCAGCAAGATCAGTGTATTTTGCCCTGATGGACTCAAATTTGAGATATAGAGTTTGTTTTTGGGGAAAAAGTTCTCAATTTCTATTGAACTCTGTTTTCATTTTACAAAAGAGGGCGGTAAGATACCTTAGTAAAGCTAAGCTAAGTCCAGAGAACTATGTTAACCCTTATTTGTGGCACAGAAAATACTAACATTGACTTGCATCTTCATTCTAGAGAGTGTCAGTGTATGTATGATCCACAAAAAATATTCCACGAACATTCATTCGAAGTCGGTATACAACACAAGGACTGTTGACTGTACGGTTTTCCTGCTGATTCCTAGAAGTACATTAAAAAAAATCTATCATTTATAATGTCAAAAAACTGTTTGATCACCTACCTTCACATATTCGTTCATTGTTAACATATCAAGTTTAGAAAGGCGCAGTCAAAGAGCTACTATTGAATAAAGCCTATCATACCTTGCAAGAATTTTGTGTGGCTCTTTCGTGACGTTTTATTTACGTTTCCGTAACATTTCCGTGACGTTTTCCGACGCTCTGACAAACGTGTGACGTTTTTCGACGCTCTGAAAAACGTGTGACGTTTTCATGACGATTTCTCCAAAAGTGAGGATATTTACATTACAAATAATCACAACCATACTTTATTTAACTCAAGTACATCATTTAAATATTTTACCTCATGAAGAGTCTTATACCATATTCTGTGGGCTGTTTCATGACGATACTTTCCCAAGATTTTTTTACCAAATATCTGTCTCTCGAAGTCAGTTTAGTTAGTGGATCAGCATCATCTGTTCGTCCTGTATCAACCCCGTATCCCAGCCAGCTCAGTACTGATCCCATGATTGACCAAAAACTGCGAAGAAATTACCAGTATTATAGTCACGTAGAAGTCCAGATTTAACACGGCTAGACTTAGTCAGGTGAACTTTCTTTTTCTCTTTATAATATATCGTTCTGGAAATTCAATAACTATAATTACATATTTCAATTTTTTTATTAAAAATGGCACATAACGAGGTGTTGACTGGCCAATATGTATTTTAATACTGCAAATGATACGCTCATTTCCCAATACCTCTGCTTTCGTAATCTCCAAAAGGCAACTATACAGGGTATCTCTTGAGTTTGCTGACGTCAAAACAAAAAAGATACTTCCTTTAAATGTATGGTCCGTGAGAAAAAGGGCCATGAACTTCATGTTAGAAAACAGTTTACAACAAAAACTTTTAGATTTCAGTACAATAAAGACTTTCCTCTTCCATACGTGGCTCTTCGTGACGTTTTATTGACGTTTTCGTAACATTTCCTTATAAGAAGTAATAAGAGAAGGCAGTCCTTATTGATTTTCACATTATTGCCTCCAAGTCTTCTCAAAGCATTAGCAAAATTATCCATGTAGTGTCGATCGCCCTTTATCTCGAAAAAAACGCAGCAAATTTTGGATGTGAGGTCAAATAATTATTGCGTCACAAATTCTATGTCACAATCTATAAAGAACATATGAAAAAGAAACAGTTCGATAAGTCATAGTCTTGTAGACAAGAACCCGTCCTGGATTTTTTCAATTCAAATTAGTCAGTAGATTTACCAAAACGATAAGAACTAATAAGAAGAATACTATAACGTCTCAAGAGAAAAAGGCCATTTCAAGTAGCATTAAAATAGATGAGAAGTCACTTTCTGTATCTCAAGTTCAAGACTAACCCATATCCTTGAGTATTGGTACGTTTTGATTACTTACTCATACAAATTAGGTAGGTACAGTCGCATTAAAAAGGAGCGTACAAGTATATTGCAAAGAGAAATTAACGTCATCCTATTCCGGCTATCGGGAATGATTGTTCACCAAATGTTGACAGTAAAGTTGTCATATATAGGTTCTCGAAAACACAAAGCATTGGCTGAGCCAGTTTTACACAACTAGAAATAAAATCCCGAAATTTATTGAATACGACTGTACATAACAACAAAGAAGTAAATAGTGGTAGCATAGAAATGGTAGTAGGTAGGAAGTTGTTATATTATATATTATTATGTTATATATTGTATGTGTGTATGCTACTGGCTAATACTTGCTACTATTGAAAAATAGTATATTATCTGAGTATGTATGGTATGTATAATGAAAGAATACGTAAAAAACTTCAAAATTATTGCGTGTTTGAGATTATTTTTTTCTAGATAAAAAACTATAGAATCTCTGGTTGAGACGGAAAAATATTCATATCCTTTACTTTCCTGAATGATTTTATCAACGATTGAAGTTAATGCTCAATTGTCAGTTTAAGATATACAGTTGAGAACAATTTATAAGACATCCGGTTGTGTCCCCTATAACTATTTCAATGAAGCCATGTAACCTATTCTGATTTCATTTTTCCTAGAGTAGATATATGAGATTTAATTTCATTTTGACTTCCTTTGAATGATGGAGACAATTTACGCGTACGAACCACAACACTAAAATGAGGTGAATTCCGATGTAACCCTATTCAACCATACAGGGTTTTTCACTTTGGGACTTTTGAGCAATAGCTCCGCTGGAAATTCAATACCTGATTAAAATAATATCAATTTATTTTACTAACATTCACAGTTTTTTCTCTCTAAAAACATAAGTCAACATTGTTTACAATAACAATAAAACCAATCGTTTTAAAAAATATACAAAAATAATATTGCATATTACACGTAAAGTGACATTATACGGTCAATTAAAAAAACATATAACTACAACTATAAAAAGTACATTCCACAATAACAGTTACAGTAAAATATTTAACTTTTTTGCTTTGCAGCTCTTGCGTCATTCAATGACTTGTTGATGACGTCGAATGCAACTTTCAGAGTTTTCTTCCAAGCGTCAATTTCCTCATTATTCATGAATGTCGAGAACAACTCGATAATCGTGTCCTTCAATTGCTGAAAACAAATATTTTCGATGAAAATTTGAAGCTGACATTTGAACATGGCAGAATTATAATTGGAGTGAAATCCAACTCCCTTCAATTCCAAGTTTTTACGGTCTGTTGAAAACTATCGAAGTAACAATATTGATGTGGGCGAGTCTAATCAGTGAATTTCTATTTTTGCTTCAAACATCGCACATAAATGTAATTTTTTCTACGGCTATAACACAAGATTGCTCTTATTTCACTGTGTTCGGTAAATCAATGAGGTTCTTTGTTTTTCATCAATTTTATATATTTCCATATCTGATTTACCATTTCACAAAATCTCATCTTCCTAGTGGTGCCCGCGAGAGTCTCGTTTTCGAGAGTCTCGCATGGTCTCGTCTCGTTTTCGAGACAAGACTCGAGACGAGACTCGGACAAGACGAGACGAGACTTTCATTAGTCTCGTCTCGAGTCTCGTGCAAGACTTCTCGTGTCTCGTGCGAGAGTCTCGCAGGTAAATATTTCTGCGTGCCGACTGCAGACTTGAGAATTTCTTTCATAATACAACATATTCAGAAAGAATTCAGACTATTTAGCAAGGAAATTCTGCAATAACGACAGATCGCAAATTGAATGACTACTTTATCTTAGACTAAATAGTCTAAGATAAAGAATGACTTTGTTTTAACGGGAGTATGGATGCATCAGGAGCTTCAAAAATATTATTCTGTGCCTCGGTGTAATAAAAACACAGATATATTGCAATGGTAGAAAATTCATGCTTCTGAATTTTCCATTCTAAGTTTGATAGCACGAGATCTCTCAAGCATACCGGCTACTTCAGTCCCGGCGGAAAGATTATTCTCACGATAAGAAAACATCGAAATGTTTTTTTTTTCTTGTTCATATGTATGATGTAAGTATGTACCTATTAGGTACTTACTTTTCAATAAATAATCTTATTTTTGTTGTAATTTTGTCTTCCTACTTCTTCATTATACCTAGAAAGAAGGTAAAGGTAAATATCCCGTACTAGACTGGAACAAGATTATGCATGACGAAATTGCGATACATTCGCGAGACTCTCGTACGAGACGCGAGACAAGACGAGACTGCAGACTGCGAGACGAGACTCGAGACAAGACTTCATATTTCATCGGCGAGACGAGACGAGACTTTATGAAAGTCTCGTCTCGTTGGTCTCGTGTGAATCACTACATCTTCCTTGAAATGCCGAATTTCAAGCAATGACAGCTCGGTCTAATTGATGAGCATATTACTTAAGAGAAAATCAGAAGGCTACAATAAGCCGAATAAACCAAAAATTTCGCTGATATCTGTTACAGCCGTAGGAGAAGTATGATGGTGTAGATATAACTCGCACGTAATAATAATTTTCCACCCGTATGATATTATGCAGCGTTCACCTACTATCATTCTGTGCTCGTTGAAAAATATATACTGTTCTAATTGTTGCAAATTGGTGCAAACTGAAAAGACATTGAGTATAGGTCAAACAATTTTGTCGTTCAGCGTTTTTCCCCAATGGGGAAGACCACTGAGAGAAGAAATCCGTGCAAACCTCTTTCAATCGACGAATCATGATTTTCGTTTGATGTACAATCAATATTATGAGTTAAAGTTGAAGGGAATCGAATCTATATCGTTTTGAAATCAGCATATTTCATTCGATATTTCAAACAGCCAAATATGATGGTGGAGTCGTGACGTATTAGTCCCGAGCTGTAGCTATCTCTCTCTGATACCTCGTCATTCTGCAGTGTTGCAGTGTGATTGGTCAGTTCAAGGACAATAGGCGTGTTGGGAATAAGACGTCGCATCAGTCACACCAATGAATTGACAAAATTTCAAACGGCGCAGGAATTGTGTGTTTTGAAATGGACATATTCTAATTTATTTTTTCCATCGTCTTAGCATGAATGACAAAATTCAAAATCATTTCGCTGGTAGTTTTTTAGTATAGAGTTCACGATAATGTCATTTTAAAAAATCAGTGGTCTCCCCCATTGTGTTCAATATTTTTCTATCGCTCATTCAGTTAATATCTAGGAGAGAATAATGTATGTATCGTCGTCTTTTGAGTAATATGGACGAGTTTCGGTTACGTCATAGATACATAATTACTAAGTAATTACGACTGAAATGGGGACCAAATTACGAGAAAATATTACGTTTGCCAACGTAGCTGAAACTCACACAATAACGTTATATTTACGTCCCATCGACGTCGGAATTACGTAAGGATACTGACTTTCTGTTTCGTTTTCACTTCATCTTGATTTCATTTTCATTATTGGAAGCTTTCATTCAACTTGCGATGTATGTATGTATGTATGTTTGTTCTGGTGGAATATTTGAACTCAATTTTGAAGTGGATATCTTCAACCGATTGAGCTGAAACATTGTAATTCAAAAGTATTTTTAAATGAATAAAGACGCTATTATTATTATTATTATTATTATTATTATTATTATTTAGTTTGGATGACAATGCACGATGAGGTGTGTGACTTTATTCAAAATTCAATATGGCGGACCATCCAAGATGGCGGAATAGGTATTTTTAATGAACTTCTACAATATGGTTATCAAATCAAATGGCTCGTTGAGATTAACTCGGAAAATGATGTGACGTCATTCTAAATCGAATATGGCGGACCATCCAGGATGGCAGAATAGTTATTTTTAATGCATTTCTACAATATGGGTATCAAATGGAAGGGCTTGTTGAAAGAGAATCGAAAAATAATGTAACGTCATTCTAAATGCAATATGACGGACGATCCAAGATGGCGGAATAGTTATCTATCTAATCTACTCCTACAATATGGGTGTCAAATGAAAGGGCTGGTTGAGAGCCACTCGAAAAATAATGTGACGTCATTCTAAATCCAGTATGAGAGAATAAGAATGCAAGTTTGAAATAATTGATTTT